TTTAAGGAAGTGCTTGTGCATAGCTAAGATTAATTCAACCAGAAATTATCCTAGAGAACTAAAAAGAAATCTTTTATGGTAGCTTTTTCCAGGTGCCTCGGAAATTAAAGTTTACTCTTGGAAAGAAGCCGGGTGCAGCTACATCTGTATGGCTGTGACTTGGCAGATGACTTGCATCAGTTTGACCTTTCTGGAAACAAATGTGCTTTCTTCAGAATTAGGCTTTGCCTATCAGTCTTTCAGTCTTGAATGTTTAGGAATTCAGCACATCTGATGCTTCAGGTGGTACTTGAAGCCAGGTGAGGAGCCATCTGTCCTGGTTTCAGCTGGGATAGAGTTAATTTTCACAGCAGCTGGTACAGTGCTGTGTTTTGTGTTTAGGGTGAGAATAGTTTTAATGCACTGATGTTTTGCTGAGCAGTGCTTGCTGTGAATCAAGGATTTACAGAGTTCCATGTTCTGCCAGCCAGGAGCTGCACAAGAAGCTGGGAGGGAGCACAGCCAAGACAGGTGACCCAAACTGGCCAAAAGGTTTCCCATAGTGGACATCATGCCCAGTATTATAAACTGGGAGAGTTGGCTGGGAGGGGCTGGCTGCTGCTCATGGATGATCTGGGCATCAGTCAGTGGGGTGGTGAGCAACTGTGCATCACTTTCTTGGGTTTCCTTTCTTTCTCTTTTGTATTGTCTCCCTTTTCCTTACTATGCTTTTAGTTTATTTCAAAGACTTAATTGTTGTTGTTGCAATCTGAGTGTTTTCCTTTTTCCCCCCTGACTCTCCTGCCTTCAACACCAGCCAGGGGAGGTGTGAGCAATCTGCATGGTACTTGTTGACTGGCTGGGGTTGGTTAAACCACAGCAATGCTTAAAGAGCAGCTTAATCCCCAAGTATCTTACTTGGGCAACAGTTGCAGTGTTGAATTGTTCATTGGGACCCATTTCTCTTGTGGAGGACTTCCCTGCTGCAGTTGAGGAGCAGGCTCACAGAGATGTAAGGGAACAGGGCTTCATAAGAAATGCTCATTAGGTTTGTCTGATGGCCAAGTGTGACTCCTGTGATGGGAAATGCCTCTGTGCAGTGTGATGACTTGTTGCCACTCTATAACTAGGCTACTTCCATCACAAATTGCTCCACAGCTGCCTAAGGATCACCATGGCTGGATGAGCAGTGTTTTAGAGCTGGCAAATCTGTTTTAAGGAGACTTTGTTGTGCCTTAAGAATTCAAGATTCTATTTAGATCTTTTCCTCAGCTGTCCTGCAATTCTAATTACTCTTTCTTACCCCTTCCAGAAGTGGTCAGTGTAGAAGAGTTCATAAAGTGCTATCTACCCTTCATGTCACAGAAACTTGACATGCAGAAAAGGGTTCTTATCTGGAAGCTGTAGCTATAACAATGGATCTTTGTTTTCTTGGCCCTTGTAAGAACTTTCTTACTTCTTGCTATAAGCCACCACACAGTAGTGCAGGGGATTAGGTCATTTCCTTCCCTTCTCCTCTTCCTGCAGATTATTTGATTAGCATTTCTATTGTATACTCTAAATAGCATGTTCTTGGCTTCAGGCTGGACCCCCCTCTATAATTAAAACACTGTAGTGTGAATTTTTATTAGCAGCATGACATGGGAACTCCTTGCACAGAGATTACATGTGACGTAACACAGTAAATGATTAATGAGGCTGGTAAGTCAGTAATCTTCCCTTCTTTCTTCTTCCCTCATGCACCTGAGATTGGGCTTCTGGGAACCCCCTAACAGTGCTGATGCCTTAGAATACATGAAATATTTTTCTTATTTGGATATCATTAGCTTTGATCAGAGTTCAGCCCCTGACTTCATGGGAAACTGAGTTCAGGTTGTGTATAGTGTATGTTCAACATTCAGCTGAGTGCACAAATACACCTCCCCTGTGGGATCATTACATGTCCTAGTCTTCCACCAGCTGTTTTGCTCCCTTTTCTCAGTGTTTCCTTTCCTTCAGTCTGCTTTAATATAGCCTATGTGCACTCTTATGCTGTGTGGGGTTTTTAGTCCACTCCTTGCCTGTTTCATTGAATAAAATGATCAAAAGGTTGTTTAGAATGTCAGTCTTGAAAGGCAGTAATATACTGATAAGGTTACCTCCATCATGAAGAGTTTGCCATTCAGCTTTCTTGCCTGTCTGGACACTAGAGGCCATGGTGTTGCCCATTGCCCCTTTGTGTAAGGCTGTTAAGCTCTTTTTAGCTGGAGCAGCTAGAAATGCATTTTCCTCTTCAGAGCTCATGGTGAATGTCATGTGAAATCACGTAATTGTATCAAACTGTACAGCATCTGTTTGTGAGTCAGATAGAAGAACATGACGATAGAGCTCTTTATTTCTTTCAACTTCAAAGAAAGAACCTCCCCTGCAGTTCAGCATCACTTCATAAAATTAGCAGTGATATCTTGGGCTACAGATTGCATTGTTTTAGTCTGGCATGGTATCTGTACTCCAGGAGAAATCAGCTAGTTCGCCCACCGACTGCATGCTGGAGGCATTTCATTCCAGTCCTCAAGGCATGGTGTAGTTCTTGTGATTCTGTGAAAATCATTAAAGCCTCCTTACCATAAAAGTGAGGGGCAGTGCTGACACAAGAACAGCTGAGTAGAGCATGGCTGTGAGTAAACACAGGCAGGGAGACAAAGTGGTTCAAACTCTGTTGGGTGAGATACAGAGGCAGCCACATAGAAGTGTGCCTAGGGACAAAATAAACCCTCAACCTGGATTAAGATGGGGCATGATTAGCTATAAAAAGGACATTGTGTGGTGTTGCTTGATTGCTCCAGAGGGTCACTGATATGAAGGCAAGTAAGGATTGTTTTCTGCAGGAGGCTGGTTGGGGTGGTAGAAAGCAAATCCACCTGCAGCTGCTTCTTAGGTGGCTGCAGCATAAAGTAATCTACAAGCTTATTAACCTGAATGCTGAACAGCTCTGCATCTGAAAAATAAACAATGTCTGGGAATAAAGGCGTTCTAGAAGCAAATTAGTCTACAAATTCTGCTTTTCAGGGTGTTCTGAAATGATACAACTCCAGTTCTCTCACAACTTGTGTGAGAAAAGTAGTGCAGCTTAGAAGTGGTCATAGAAATGTAACTAATCGCTGTGGTTAAATACCTGAATACAGAGCACCTTTTGTACTCTTGGTGCCATATCTGTGTGTTAAGTGATACTAATGCAGTCCTGATGTGCTTTTCTTTTTTTTTTCCCCTTTTAAAACAAAATCACAAAAGCAACCCTTAGCCCTGATTAAAACAGCATTCAAGCTGCCAACTTTGTATAGGCTGGGACAAAACAGAAAATACTTGAAAATGATGGGGGAGGTGGGGTGGTGTGACTCCTCCACCCCAGTAAAAATTGCTATTTTAAGGATCTACATGTTACCAGTGAAAAAGCTGGGATTGTATGCCAGTGGCATGAGACTGTTGATTTTTGGCAGGAAAGAGGAGTCCCTTAGAACCTAAATCTCAAGATCAGGCTTGATGAGTCTCTGGTGTTTCTGTTGAGATGGATGCAGAAGGTCCCCATCCCTTCATTTGCATTGGTATAATGGGATTACAGAATAAACACACAAACAGATCAGCAAAATTACTTGGGTTGAAATAGTTGGAGATTTGTGTGTGGTTTTGGTTTTTCCCTTAGCCCCTTGCCAGTTTAGTACTCTGATAGCTGTGATAATGACCATAGCATTTCAGAGCACTGTTCAGTCCTGTGGTTTTTTTGTCAGCCAGAAGGGTGGAAATGAGGGAACACCTGTACATCAGTGTTTCTCCAGGCACTTTCCAGTGTTCAGCAGCTGTGGCTCAAGCACTTCTGTGGAGTGGTACAAGTTGGTATCTTTGTACTTACTTTTTTCCCTCATACCATAGATTATTATCTTTGAGCCTATGTATAGTTTTATTATCCAGAATAAGCTATGACAAGGTATTCTACAGCTCAATTTTTGGGTAGGTGACAAGATCCTATAACAGGACAGCTGTATTGTATTACTGAGGGGAAAGTTTGCTGTGGAGTACAGATTGAGAAGAGAGAAAACACAGATGCATTCACCTTGTTCTCAGCTGTAAAGCTGACTTCTGTGGAGCTGCATCTTATGTTGTGTTATGGCATTATGAACAGAAAAGCTGTTTTGACAGTTCTTAGGTTTGAGTGTTACCCAGTGGCTATACTGTAAGGTGAACTGGGGAACAGTTCTGCTTAAAAAATAACAGAGCAGATAAACCAACTTTGAAACATTGACAGATCAGTCCATAAAATTGTGTTTAAAAGATTGAGGTCACAAGCCAAGGAGGGAGGAGCAGCAAAAGTCATACATAGAACATGGAGATGTGAAATGTCAGGCTCTATCTACATTGCTTGAGCCAGGGTAACCATTCCACCCCTTCTTCACCCACTACAGCTGTGATATAAAACTTCATGTAAAGGTTAAGCTGCTGTGTCATATTGTGATTGCAGCAGCCTCACAGCATTTGCATGATCAATTCCACGAGGTGACTTGGAAGCTGTGGTAACTTGATCACCACTTTATGGCTCAGACATTTAAATTATCCCACCCACTGGCTTGATGCAGTGATTTTGGTGTTGGTGGAATGAGAAATGAGCTCATAACCTGGTCTGGCACATGCAGATTTGCCTTTTTAAATGTGCATCCTACAGGATTGAGCTGTTTTAGAATCATTGGCTGTGACAGTCCAGTGCACACAGGTAGCATCTGCAGATGTGTCATGTGTCCAGTCCTACAGTATTAGTGAAAACAGAGGTAGCAATGCCTGAACAGTTTCTGCTGGTACAATTCTCAGTGTATTAAGAAATTACTCTTTGTGTGGGAGGCGAGGAAAGCTAGCTGGGCTAATAAATTATGGTTAAAAAAAAAAAGAAAAGGTATAGCATGCATGGGTACAGTTATGTAAGAGAAGGAAATAAATCAGTGTTTCTCCGAGAACCTCATCCGCAGAGCTGCCAGGCAATTGGGCTGCAGTATTGTTCTCAGCACACCCTCTGCTTCCTCTTTTCCTTTTTGGGGCCAGGGATGGATGAATTGGTGGAGCAGGAGCAGGATGCTGGTTCTGCCTGCAGCCAATGCTGTGTGGTGCCGTGCTGTTTACCCAGCTTACGCAAGGCAGAGCCGGCCCCTCTTGAGGCAGGAGGTGCTTCCCACGGCTGAAGTTAAAGCACACAGAGCAGTCACTCAGTCTGGCAGTTGCTGGGGCTTTAAAGGAGTTGGTGGATTTCAGCTGATTTTAAACAAGATTGGAGAGTTGGGTTTTTCCTTCTCCACTGTGTAGGAATACTGCAAGGACACAAATATCCTGGTAAGTGCTCCGCATGCTGTCGCTTTTCCCTTCTAATGTGGTATTGTTTCAGTCTCTCTTCTAAAAGTCTCCTCAGCTGCAGTGGTTTTCAGTGATGCAGTGGAAAGGAAATCTGAGAGCAGGCAGTGTCTCTGCAGGCTCCCCTTCCACCTCAAAGAGGCAGAGACTTTCAAAGTGCACAGCATAGTAAGTGTTGTTTGATCATAAGAAATGTCAGTCACTTCTCATTTTTAGGGTGTAGAGCAAGGTCCCTTAAAACTGCCATTACCTAACAAAATTGTACCGAGGGCAATTTCTCATGGAGCTCTTGAATATTTCTGTTGTCTAAACCGAGAAAAAGGCTTTAAATGTAACTGTAGCTCTTATTTTTGTAAGATGATATAGATGCTATGTGAAAAGGCTTTAGTGTAATACAAACAGCTATTTAGCAGATACTTTGGTACATGAGCTGCCTTATCAAGAAGTCAGAGGCTCATAAAAAGCAAAACTGTAATATTTGGGCATGTAGAACAAGAAGTCATTGTGGTTTTTTGCAAGCCCAGGCTCCTTAGCCATATTTTCCTGTACAGATGCATCAGACAGTAGATTTTCCTGAACTTGAAAGGCTCTATTGCTTTGTGTAAGAATAAGATGCCTCTGCTTCGGTCTAAACTTTTAGGAAGTTTTACTCTTGTGGCTTACTCTAAGTGAAAGTTGGGACTGCCTTTTTTTTTCTTAAGGTAATATTGTGAAATTAGTCTGAAGCAGTGGAGAAGGATAACATTAAAGGCTTCCAACTGTAGAGTTCTCTGCAGCAGAACTATGCTTCTGTACTAGTATTGTGTGAAGTTTTTTTCTTTTCTGTTTGTATTTTTGCAAGGCACTCTCTGGAGATACAAATAGGTATGCTGTGGCTAATGAGCACCTGATAATCTGAATGAAATTAAAATGAAATCAAAACTATTTTTTTTCAGCGTAGTTTGTACTGACAGGCATGTGCAAGTGGAGCCAGAACTTGAGGGAGAAAGCTGCAAATGACTCTTGTGAAGCAGCTTGTGTGAGCAAGGTGGTCCTGGCAGGTGGTTCAGTGATGGAGCTGGGACGAGCCCTGTGCGAGGCTCCGTGCGTTGTCACCCCAAAGGGGCAAGGGGGGTCAGGCTGCGTGTAGATGGAGCAGCTTAGCTGGTGGAGAACTTTCTCAGCTAATTAAGGATACAGATAATGTTGCAGTGACAGCTTTAAAATAGACACCTTGTGCTAAAAGACAAATGTTTTTGGCTTCCCACACGCAGTCTGAATTACATCATTTATAACCCGTAGGAGGTTATCGTGGTTTCCTCAGGGGAGGATCAGCTGTTACTTTTCATAACTGCAAAAAAATTCGGGACTATTTCTTTTTCCAAGGGAATATTTTCAGAATTGATTTTTGTCATTCTGTTGGAGTGGATCATTATTGATTACATAAAGCTTCCAGTTTTAATAGACCCAGCCACATTGTCATGTCATCAACGGTAGTTCAGAATAAGGGAACTGAGGTTAGCAGAGGTCTGACTGAAATCAGAACCCTGTGCTTAGATGGGTTTTTTCAGTCTTCTGAAGAAGAATGCTGGTTTTGAGTACTATCATAAAGTACAGATTTTCATATAGGTGCCTATAATAGAAGTCCTATTCTAAAACACTTCCCTTGTTTATTGAGCAAGGTTGCTTGTCCTCAAGGCACTGTTCCTGTCTTTCCTGAAATTGCTGAGAGCTTGTCAGACCTGCTTCTGTGGCTGGAACAGAACTTGAAGCAGAATGCTAGACACCAATTCAACCAGAACTGCTGTTTCTTAGACTGGACAAAATTAGCTGTGGCCTTAGAGCAAAACAGTAGATTTTCTCTTGTCTATCAAGTTAATGCCCCTTTCAGAGTGTCCACAGACAATGGGTTTTTGTGTGTGTAGATGCTCTGACTCACATGACTTTTTTCCAGGCTGACCAGCCCACTAATGGCAGGTGTCCATGGTAAAAAGATGCTTTCTTTCTGTTTGTGACAACAAAAAACTCCTCTATTGAGATTTTACAGATGTTCTCAATGCATAGTAGTAGATAGCTGTTGCATTGGTTTGTGCTTGATGTCCTGTGCAGGATCAGCTGCTTGCTCATTTCAGAACTTGGCCTCGTTGTCTTGTTTTTGATATCTTGTTTTTGTCTTGCTTTCATATCATAAGACACTTGTGTGTCTATAGTGGATGACTAAGCTTATTCTGAGTTACAAAAGAAAAGGTGTACAGTATAGACTAAGGAAATAATAAGCCATACTGAAGCAAAAGGCTGGACTGATACTCCATACTCCCAAGGCTTATTCTTGGGGATTTTGATGCTGAAAAACTCCCTTTTCTAGAAATAAGAAAATTAAATATCCTTCCTGAAAAAGGTAGTGTGTGGCTATTGATCTCAAGTGATAGGCATTTAAATTGCACTAACAGATGCATCACTATAACTTTGCTGTGCATCTGTAGTGAAGGATGCAAGCTGTACACAGAATGTGGCTAATCTCAACAGTGGAGTCTAAAACCTAATGATGGTAAAATTGCAGGTGTGTGTGGGAAGGAAACGTGAGCTTGTTTTTAATTGAAAACTGGGAGAAGTGTTAAAACTGGGAGATAAACACATGTTCTCTTTACCCAGTGATCGCTTCAGTAAAAGCTATTTTAATACAAGCTTGCAAAACTATTTATAGGAAAAACAGTTAAAGGAGAGTAACTTTCCAGTGGTGAACATTTCTTCACCCTTCACGTAGAAGAAAGTGATTTCTCAACCTTTGTCTCAGCTTTCAGAAACAGTGATGCAAGGACCCGATTCCTTGTTGCTTGTGCCAGTGCAGATCAGTAACATTATTGATATTGTTTGTGAAACCTGGCACGCTGGGCTTGGTGGGAACACATACGGAACACATACTCAAACAAGCAGTCAGTCTGCTGGGAGTTACTGTGGGGTTTTGGGTTTGGGTGGGTTTTTTGGGTTTTGGTACTTTTTTTGTTGGTGGTGCTTTTGCTTGTTTCTTTCTTTTTTTTCTTTTTCTCCTTCTCTCTGATTACCTATTGCCTCCTCCTTCCATGCTTGCATACCTTCATCTTGAGAGACGAGTATTCTGTACAGCTTGTTTGTGTCTCTCAGTGACTTTACTTTAGTATTGTGGTTGTTTAAGTCTGGAAATCAAGGTTTTTTCCTTTGAAGTGGTGAGATGTAACCATAGAAGAGAATATGCAGTGCTGAAATACTGTACGTGTATTGAGAGGATTTTGGGTTCTGATCTTGCAGTCACAGGAGACTTGCCTAGTGGAAACTGGAGCGATAAAGAGCTTAAATGTGTAAGTGAGTATTGGCAAACTTAGGTCCTACTTGTGTATTCTCAGGTATTGTCACACTATTCAATGTGAATTGTTTGTTTGCAGTAGGGGGTTTTAAATCCAAATAAAGCTGCAGACACTAACATGTAAACCTTGAGGGATAAGAACAAAATCTTGTTTCATTGGTAATGGAGTTACTTATAATTTATGTCTGGCTGGTCAAAAGTGCACTTCAAGTGCATATTCCAGTTGCTTGATAGAATTGTGTGGACTTCTTAAAATTAATTGTATTCCTGGAATAATTTGGGTTGGAAGGTTATCTGGTTCAGTCCCTGGACTCAAAATGGGACTGGACTGCCTTTGATCAGGCTGTTCAGAGCCACATGCAGCTGATCTCCACGGATGGAGATTGCACAGGCTTTGTGGACTGAGGGTTTCTCATTTCCATATTCGCTAATCAGGATTTTCTGTGTTGTAGCTTGTTTGTAGCCTCTTGTTTTGCCACTGCATACCTGTCAAGAGGACTAGATTCCATTTTGTCCCCATTCCTTCTGCTTTAGCACAGAATTGCTCAGGGAAGAGCTGTATGTGAGAATTGTAAGGGTAGTCAGTGCAGAACCGCGAATAGTAAAACAAAATAAAAACATCAATAGATAAAATGTCTTGTGCTTTATTTCTAAAAGAAAAAAAACTCCAAGCCTTAAAATATATAGACATAGAATATAAATATAAAATTATAAAAAGGGAGGGGGAAGTTCCCATTTTTTGCATCTGAATCAGCATATTTTTATTTTAATCTATTCATTGACAGAGGACTTTTTTCTATACTGTGTAAGTGGTTTTCTATGCAGTATTTTAGAAAAGGGCCAGTCTGGCACTAGCTGCAGTTGCTAGCAGCCTATAATGCTGGCTCTGTGTTTAGAAAATGACGGTAATTTATTACAAAGAGACTTTTATTCCTGTATTTTTAGCTTTCAGCCGAGTGTTTAATGAATCTCTGCCTGGGCTCATTGAATTTATGTTCTCCCCTCCCCCACCCCATTTTAACCATTGAGATGCTGCAATTCCAGAAGCTGTACTTGGTCTACAAAGCAGCAAACTGAATTCACAAGGTGCTGTGCCTTACTGCAAACAAAATCTGAAGACTTGCTGAAGCAAGTAAAGGCTGGTTGTGAGTGAGTCTCATGACCAGGAAAGGCAGCTGAATGGCTGCAAATGACTGGTTAAGCTAGAGCTGATAGCTCAAAACCAACCAAAATTCATCTGTCTCTGTTCCCCATGAAAAATGATGTGCTCAAGGAAAGGGAACTCTTAACCTCACCTGCTCTGAAGTGTTGTCTGGGAGGGGACAGCCTGGGTGCAGGGACCTGTGTTTGCATCAGACAGGGGAGGATATGATGGCTTTTCCTTCTACTGGAATGGAGTCAGAAATCTGTGGCTTGCTTTCTCAGCTGTAGCAGTCTTTGCCTTCTGTGGCTTTAGTGAGTACTAGAGAGCACGAAGGCTTGTCAGGAACCAGACTTACATTACTCAAACAAATTTTGAATGCTTTTCTCAGTCCAGTTGTTGTCACCTTCTAGTCCTTCAAAACAGTTGTGTGTGATAGTATTGAGCATTGAACTTTCTGTTGCTCCCAGAGGAACCGGTGTTGAGAATAAAAATATTACCTGTGCATGAATTCTTCCTGTTCCAGTTTCCTATTTTTGACACTGAAGAATTTTGCCTGGTACCCATTGTGGTTTGGGGCTAACTGCAAACAGTTGTGCTTGCCCTTAGCCATGTAAGTTGCTTTGCTCTCAGTCTTTTCAAATCCATGGTGCAGGACTATGCAAAGATAAGCATTTTCAGGCTTTGGTCTCTTCTCTTTAGCAGAAGCAGAGATCTTGACACAAAATGTTTGCTGCTGCCAGTTCTATGATTTTTGGAAGAACATTGGGTGAGATGGAATCTTGTAATTGACATCTTATTCCTTATCACTGTTGAATGTTCTTGGATGAGTTTAGAAGAGTCTGTTGTTCAGAGCTTTCTCCAATGAAGCCTGGTTCCCTGATGTCTGGAAATGCTGCAACAAGAAGCAGCATAAATGTAATTTGTGTGTATTTTGCTCAAACAGTTGGTTCCTTAGCTATATCCTGGCCCTTCAGAGCCAATTTGTCTTTTCAATTAGCCTTTCCCAACTTTTTGAAGAAAAGTAGTACTCTAGAAATAAAAACTGGTTAGGTTACACTACAAGAGAAGACCCATTATATATTTTGGTTGATCCTTTTCTTCTACTCAACAGTTTTCCTTCAAGTAAGTTCTTCACTCAGCTTTAAATGATTTATAAGCCTGCAGTATTTCAGATGTTATCCCATGGCAGATTAGACTCATCTCCAGTGGGACAGCCCTTGAGTTTTATTCACAGATGTGAAATTTCCCTTGGACTGATCTTCAGGACCTCACTGGAAAGATATAGTTGGTCTTTGTTATTTCTGGGGACAGAAATATTTTCCCTTTGGGTGCAGTGCACCAGGCCAATCACACTGGATGAGAAGTAGTGTGTATGTTGGACTGATTATTTTTTTAGGAATACTGAATCTTGTATGTACTTGAGTTGAAGTAATCTGGGGGTGTAGTAGTTGTGAAATTTGTGTGAAGTTCATAAAGGTTCTGAGATGTATTTGAAAAAAATGAAGTTCAAACATTTCAGCCAGACTTTTGAAAGGGGATGAGCAGGCTGTGTTATTAATGATGGCTCTAGATTTCTAACACTCAAACCTTCCTTAAGTTTAGTAGAAGTGGATTTCCATTACATGCAAAGTAAACTTGAATGGATTTCTTTAAGTGTAAAGCAAAAGAAAATGTTTTAAGGAGGAACTAGGAACTGAGCAATAGATGTGGGACATCTTTCCTTGTACTGAGAATTTCTGTATAACTCCTTGTATTGCTGAAGTCTGTCCCTGGGAACTGCTGAGCCCTTTTATTGTTTCTGCACAGTTCTCTCGTCACTTGTGCAGGTAACACATTAGAGTCTCCTTTAACTGTTCACATGTTATTTTCCTGAGGCTTTGAAGCTTACTCAGACATGTATTCTTTTTTAGTTTTCCATTATAATTGTTCCTTTGGATGAACAGAAAAAGAGGAGAAGCTGTACCAAACCTGTTCTTATACTAATGGCTAAAGTTATTTTAAATGTTTGCCTTCCCACTTTCTCTAAGTGAAAGAATTAGCTCTTTAACACTGTAATGTGGGGTAATACTATTTAAATCTTTGGTTATTGTGGCATGATGTTTCTTAGTTCTATGCTGGTTCCTTATAGGCACTGCTGTAGTTTCATGGCAGTATTTCTTGTGAGCTTTTGAATGTGAAGGCAGAGAACAACTGTTGGCCAAGATGAAATTAGTTGCATGTGACGGAGACTGAATTGCAGGGGGGAGGCTGTTCAGGAGATCAATATTGAAGTAGTAAATAGGTAATCATGTGGGGAGGAGATGAGAAGATGAGATCTCTCAGAAATCACCTGTACAAGCAAGTATATTGCAAGATCTTAAAACAAGAAATGCTGAAGTTGATTGTAAAAATACTTCATAGAAAATGCATTTTTATATACAGATAAATCATGAAGAAAGTAGAAATGCTTCAGAAGGGAAATGTGTCTAAGGAACTGAGCACTGTTAAGCACTAGGATCTGTGTGGTTCAATATCAATGTCAGAAAAGCAGCCCTGAGGTGTGTTCACAGGCACATAGCTTGAGTGTGGTGCTTTGCTCCAAAGTGGGGTGTGATGCCAGGAGGTAAGGAGGGCCCTGGAAGACGTGAAAATTGTGAACACAGTTAATGTTGTGGGGCTCTCTTTATCAAATGGGGCAATCTCCACTTCAGTGTGTTGTGACTACTGACATCATTTCAGGTCACATTTTCATGGGATAAGTTTGCTTTAATGTCTTCATTTTAGAATTCTAAAGGCCAAACCTACAACAGTGAGTAACCTCACAATCCCAGGGGAGTTACTGCTGCACTTGGGTCAGCAATCCAGAAGGGCTTTGAGCAAACTCTGTTCCTTGACTGTCTCAGTCAGCAGTGAGCAGTGCCAGTGCCACTGTTCCTGTGGGACAGAGGGAGACTGCTGGAGCAGCAAAATGCACTTTCAGCACCAGCTGAGTGATGGGTACCCTGAGGCATGAGCAGGACAGCTGCTGAGTGAAAGTGCTCACTGCTTCCCAGGCAGCAGGGAGAGCTTGGTGTCACTGTTCTGGAGATGGGACACAGACACTTCACAGCAGTGCTGAGCAAATCAGGTTTGTGCAATGCACTCATCTCCCAGTGGGTCAGGGTGCTGGTGTGGTTATATTGTGTGTGCTAGCCACAAAGACAGGCTGCAGTTAACTTGTTTCAAGCACTGTGAATCTCCAACACTGTGAGCTGATGGCAGATGGCAATCAACCTATGCATGCTGAATAGGAACTTGTAGATTTGAGAAAACATGTTGAAAGCCAAGCTTCTCTGTGAAAGAGCAAAGACTGGGAGAGATAAGGTCAGTAGGGGGATCTTTGCATCAGCTCCTGAGCAAATGTGAACAGGCTGTCAAGCACTGCCACATCTTTGTCTCTGTTCTTGTGACATAACATGGGGATAGATGATATCTGCATGATGACATCTTTTCCGCTAATAACCATGGTCTAGTCAAGGTAGAAGAAAGTGGAGATACAGCGCTGTAGTTGTGATCAAAGTTGATGACAGGCTTCAAAAAGTGCTGTGTGGGTCAAAAAGTGCATTTGCACAGAAGGCAGAATGTTACCATCAGTGCTAAAAAAGATTAGCAGCTCTTTGAGTTGGTATGAAAACTCACCTGGAAGGACCAAGGCAATGTTCCTATTTCTGTTAAAGAAAGCCTCAAACAGTCTCTCATCAGCTTTATTCTTTATCAAGCAAGTGCTCCACTGGGTAGGATTTCTCTGGAGGAAGGTCAGAGATGAGCTGCATAGGTCAAAAGTGTCTGGAAATGCTACTAATGAGCAGCTGTAAAAAATACAATATGAACTCTTCCTCAAAGCACAAGTCTGAGTAAAAAATGCACTTCAGGACTGTTTTCATTAGGAGTTACATGGAATTCCCTCAGGAAACCTCCTTCAAACAGATGTTTATATCACTTCTGGCTCTGGCTAAACATGAGCAATCACAATGCATACCCTAAACTTTTATGGCAGGCTTTTTATCAAATTGTCATGCAACTTCCTTCCATCCGCCAATGCAGAAACTTCTTAGAAAGCTCTGACACTTCACATGAAAACTTTTGCTAATGGGTTGGTCTTGCTTTGTGGGTTTGTCTTTCTTTAAATTTAATGCTTATCTGGCTCTATTTCTCAACAGCTGAATGAAATATAATAAATGAAGCTATGTATCATATATTCTAAAAACTAACATGGAGGAAAACAAGTGTGGATGTTTTAAGGTCATAGTGGAATTTTCTAAATGCATTTCTTCGGTGATCTCACAATTCTTTTAGGCAATTCAACCTTAATTCATGTGGTTTTATATATGTGTTTTTAAAAATTATTTCAGGCAAAATCAAAACCTGGAAAACACAAAATATTGTACCTACAGTATCATATTGGTGTGCAAGTGTCTGTTATTGAAGTAGAGTATTTTCTCTTACACTTAATTTTGTTTTTATTTTAACAGGAAATAATGAAAAAAGTGTGCCACAACTCTTGATCAGCGACCTGAAGTTTGAGAAGTCCTTAGCTAAGCTCATGTTTTCTCCTGATCAAGAAAATCATCCATCCAAAGCACCAGTCAAATATGGTGAATTGATCGTACTGGGGTAAGTGTGTGTGTGTAAGAGTCTGAGGGTTTTCTATGCTGAAATCCTGTGGACATGTTTCAGTACTGTGTTAATCAATTCTTGGATTTAAATGCAATTAATTGAAAATCTGTAATTAGTAGCACTATACTAATTGAGAATACTTGGTGCTTAGAATGAATGTTCTTGTGGGTTCGTATCTCATGAGAAACTAAGTAATACAGGAATGATGGACTTTGTTCTTTTTCTGTGCTTTTTGGTAGGTACAATGGGTCTCTCCCAAATGGAGACAGAGGGAGAAGGAAAAGTAGGTTTGCTTTATTTAAAAGGCCCAAGGCAAATGGGGTGAAACCCAGCACTGTGCACATTGCCTGTACCCCTCAAGCAGCAAAGGTAACTCCATTTTTCTCCTCAAGTCTGTCTGATTTCTCCTTGTGCCATATAAAGAGCTGTTAGGAAATGGTTTAAACAGCATAAATATCTAGCTGTGAAAAGAATGGTTTGTGTTTATCCAAAGTTTTTTAGTACCTGTCAGCATTAGCAAGAAACAATTCAGCAAAGAAGATGCAGTATGTAGTCCTTACTATAGCCGGGGAAAAAAAATTAGTTTTGAAACATGAATGTTCTGGGCACCGGCTAGTCAGCTGTTCTGCACTTTGTGGTTTTCTACTCACTCTGCTTTAGGACTAACTTTGCTTCACATGAAGCTGACTTTTAAATGATCCTTGCCAAAGCTCCACATGCACTTGGTGCTCCATCCAGTGGGTAGGAGTTCCCCAGGGATCAGATCAGGTGGGTTTTGCAGGGTATGTTTCATAGGGCTTGTAATCAGAGTTCCCACTAAGAAGCAGAAAAGGAAGGGCTTAGGCCCTGAAGTTGAACTGTATTTCAACAGTGTATGCCAAAACTAATACATCATAGCTAAGGTATTACCATGAAATATTGTGGCTGTTCAAGTGTGTGTGCAGTTGTGTTCAATAACTAATGGAGCATTTCTGCTAAACAATGGAATTTGAGGATGCTTAGTGGTTGTTTAGAAACTGCCAGTGACAAGATCAGGCCTTTAAACAAACGCAGTAGTGTTAAAGTGCTTGACTGCCAGAATACTTTGACACTTAAGGATCTTGACCTTAAATTCAGGGAATGGTATAAAGTATTCTGAATTCAGAAGCATTTTTTCTACCAAAATTCTTGTAGTAGAGTTACATTCATAGTAGATCTATGAAAAGAACATTTATTTTTGCAAATTCTTTATGTTCCAGTAAGTGCTGTTTAGCAGCATTTTTAGAAGGGTTGGTTAGTTCCCTAGTAAGTAATTGCAGAATGAACATCCAGACTAAACAAGTGAAACCTTTGCTACAACTTCTGCAACCTATGTTGAGTTTCTCCCTAATTACCACCACTTTTTTATCTACGTGTCTTAAGTCGGTCATTACTGATTTTAGTATTTACTCAAATCCTGGTTTTAGAATGAGGTCCCTGAGTTTTTGTCCTTGCTTTGCTGTTGGCCAAGTTCACTCTGAGATGGCCATGAAGGTGTTACATTAAGTTTTAGCCTTTGCATTTGGTTGGTTTGTCCTTTTGTGTTCAGGCCAGTGTTGCTTTAACACAAAACATGACTAATAATATGCCCTGGTTATGTTTATTTAGTTGCAGCATGTGGTGAAGAGACCAGTTTGGTCTGTTGCTGAATCAATCCTGCAGCTTTTTTTCAGTGGCCAGGACTGAGTTTTGTGAAGTTTAACTTTAGGTGTGTCATTAACAACAGTCTGCCCTAATGCCTTAATTAGCAGAAGAGGCTGATGTTATATATATATATGTGTGTGTGTGTATTGTCTGCTTTGCTGCTCTATTCTGTAGAATTACTGTGCACTGATCAGTAACATTTGGCATTTTTCCACAGGCAATAAGTAATAAGGACCAACACAGCATATCTTACACTTTGTCTCGGGCCCAGACTGTAGTAGTTGAATATACTCATGACAGCAACACAGATATGTTCCAGGTACGTGAAGTAAATGTGTAAATGTGTTCTCATTTTTGGTAGTTCCAAACAAGGCATCCTCTCAGCAGGATTTTTCTCTCAGGCCCAAAAGTTTGTGTGTCAGTTTCTGCACTCACCATTCAGAGCAATTTAATTCAGTTCATTCCCAAGGCCATCCTGTGAACAAGGCTGTGTGTCTGTACATCTCTTTTTAAAAGACTTGGGCAAAGGTGAAAGTTGGGGGATTTTGTGGCTAATGCACAAGATTAGGTTTTTGCCTTTGCTGGCCTGCAAGTCACATAATCTGTTTCCTAGCCCCTCCTTGCAAAACGAAGAATAAAAGGCACCTTTCTCTTCAAGAACTTAGAACTTTGCTTCTGGCATTTACAAAGGGATTTGGGATCAGCCAGTTGGAGACAGGGTAGAAGAAATACAGTGTGGAAACACAGGAAAGCTTTTGGCACAACTAATATGAAAAATACTCTGAAGTTTTTTAAGCAAACCCAGAAATGTCCTAAAGTACTGGGAGATGTGAAGAGAGAAGCCTTCAGTGCTGATGCTGACAGTTCAAAACAACTTTGCTGCAGTTCCTGTGTGTATGAGAAGGGGCCACAAACACATCTGCAGCTGTGGTGTGCCCTCATATCTTTTAATTGTTTCCTGTTTTTCTCAAACGGAAGGGGTTTGTTTTGGGGTTCTTTTTAATGTGGGCTTTGTTCTCTCTGATTCCCAGACTGTGATCTTGTGTAGTTTTTTTTTCCCCATCGTTGTTGCCACGAGTTTATAGCAAGGAGTTTTGCTGTCACAGCATTTAGCTGTGACGCCACTGCAGGATCTAAGGAGGTGGGAGGTGTTGGGAAGTGGTGGAGGAAGCTGCTTTGCAACTGCAAATACAACAGAGCAAAAGGACTGTAATGAAATCACTGCAGCATAAGCTATTGTTTGTGTGAGTGTTCTCTCTTCAGGCATGCTCTGGCATGTGTGCTGCTCTGAAATTGCCCCGGCAGTCCCTGTGTACTCATGGGTTATCCTGCTTAGGAAGCAGTAGAAAAATAGATTCTGACAAAGCAGTTTTAGTCTCATGAAAGCACTCCAGCCCTCAACAAAAAGCACCTCAAGCTTTTGGGTCTCTTGCTCAGCAGTTAATCAGTCTTAATATAATCACCTATTTTCCAAGAGCCTGAGAGCTCTGGAAATGAGTGAGTAGTAGTGTGTAAGAGGGCTTTAAACCCAGCTATATGGATGTTTGGGAAAGGGTTATTACTTTTCCTCTTTGTGACGAAAGATGAGTTGACTGGAAAAGCAGGGATACCTATGCAGTTTCACCAAGCTCAGTGCAGTTGTGTGGGACTGCAAGACTCTCAGTTCCCTGCAGCCAGAAAAGGAGATGCAGCTACCAGCAAAACCTGATTGTAGTCAGATGTTCCATTCTTGTGTTCTGCGTGTGTAAATGTAGCCCCTCTCTGCCACAACCACCTGGTGCCTGCTCTTTGACAAAAGATTTGCTCCTTCTCGGTGCCCACCAGAGCTGAGGAGACAGCTCACATAATCTGATTTTCATACATCTATACCTTGTCTTAGTCTGGCACTGTTCAGGGTGTTCTGGGCATGCAAAGTGACTGCATGTCACTGTTCTTCCCTCTAACTGCTGTTCCCTGGCTCTTTTGGTGCTCCTGCAGCTGGTCTGCCTGACCTGAGTGTAACCTCTGTGATGAAAAGGCCTTCAATGGGAAATAATCTCAGCACTGACTTAATTGCATCATTTTATTTCTCCTTCCTTCATTTGGCTGTACCCAACTTTCAGAATAACTTTGATCATTTGGAGGCAGAAAAATTCATCAATTCAGATGAGGCTTTAGAAACCTAAATTGGTAGACTGGTGGACAGGAATGCTTTAAACTGTAATGTAATGATTTTTGTATCATTGCTTTTACTTTCTTTGAATTTGAATAGTCCTAGACCCAAAGACAGACTTCTGACCATTTTTTTTTTCAATGCTTTTCCAGATTGGTCGGTCAACAGAGAGCCCTATAGACTTTGTAGTAACAGATACAGTTCCTGGGAGTCAGAGTAATTCAGATACACAGTCTGTGCAGAGCACAATATCAAGGTTTGCCTGCAGAATCATATGTGAACGTAACCCTCCATTTACAGCAAGAATATATGCTGCAGGATTTGACTCCTCAAAAAACATTTTTCTTGGGGTAAGGAATTCTTTCTTTTTTCCACTAAAAGTTCATTGCACACTTATTTTTAAAAAATAATTCATAACTCCAGCCAAATCAAAGGTGCTCATTGATGTGATTTCTTTTAGGAGAAAGCTGCAAAGTGGAAGACATCAGATGGGCAAATGGATGGACTAACAACAAATGGAGTTCTTGTTATGCATCCTCGTAATGGATTCACAGAAGACTCCAAGCCTGGGGTGTGGAGAGAGATTTCTGTGTGTGGGAATGTCTTCAGCCTCCGTGAAACCAGATCAGCTCAACAGAGGGGGAAAATGGTGAGAGGAGTGACCAGTGTTTTATGCAACCTGTTTAAAATGGTGCAGCCATTAGGAGTATAGTTTGGGCATAGAGCTGGAATCTGCTGGAATTCCACGTAGCTGTCACCCCTGCAATTAGTTACACTGCCTCTTATTTGTTTGTCTGGGTGCACAAAGGTGTCTTGATCAACATGAATAACTGACTGAGTTTATCTGCAAACTAGTACTTAATTGCACATCTAGGCTGCTCTCCTAAACTGAGTTTCCAGTCTACTCTGTATTTCTGCAAGCTCTCCTGCACATTCTACAAGTATTTTCCCAATTCTCCCTTGTTAGTTAGTGGCTTTTGCCACTTTTCCTTTTTAAAAGAATGATGAAAAATAGATATAATTTTAGTGGATATTCATTTCCACGTTGGCATTCGGAGTTTTCCCTCTTCTTTTGTTTGCAAAGCATTGGTGATATTTCCAGGAGATATTTGGGTTCAGTATGGCTTGGGATGTTTCAGCAAAAAGAAATGCTACATTGAACATTTTAAACAGCATATTTAGCTAGGAGTGCTGATGGGAGGAGAGGAAAGCCATGTGTAAAGGGGTGTTTTGAGAGAAGTCTAAAATATGATGGAGGACTAAAACAGTCTTGTGGTACTCCTTGAGGCATTTCAAGTAACATAGTTGAGAGTGCTATAGGGATGGAATACAGAGTTGTTAAGATGGGAGAGGAGCTTTTCTTGACTCAGTGTCTTGTCTCTTTTAATGCACACTTTAATCTCTTAAGATGTTGGGGTGAGGTTTTTCCAAAAAAAGGAGGGCAGAGAGAAGCTGATAGTGGGCTCTCTATGGGTGTCTTGTGGACACAGTCAGAACCTGCTTGGAACTTTGATGGGTCTTCCAGGCAGATGAGTGTTGTGGAAGTGCACATTGTTACACTTGAGAGCCCCTGCGGTGACGGCTGTCCGTGTCTGTGTCCCTGTCCAGGTTGAGAACGAGACGAACCAGCTGCAGGACGGCTCCCTGATCGACCTGTGCGGGGCGACGCTGCTGTGGCGCACGGCCGAGGGGCTGGCGCGCACGCCCACCGTCAAGCACCTGGAGGCTCTGAGGCAGGAGATCAACGCAGCCAGGCCCCAGTGCCCTGTGGGCTTCAACACGCTGGCCTTCCCCAGCATGAAGAGAAAAGATGTTGTAGATGAGAAGCAGCCGTGGGTGTACCTGAACTGCGGCCACGTGCACGGCTACCACAACTGGGGGAACAAAGAGGAGAGGGACGGCAAGGACCGCGAGTGCCCCATGTGCCGCTCCGTCGGCCCCTATGTGCCGCTGTGGCTTGGCTGCGAGGCGGGATTTTACGTGGATGCCGGACCTCCCACTCATGCATTCAGCCCCTGTGGACACGTGTGCTCAGAAAAGACAACTGCATATTGGTCCCAAATTCCTCTTCCTCACGGTACTCACACTTTTCACGCAGCCTGTCCCTTCTGTGCGCATCAGCTGGCTGGTGAGCAGGGTTACATCAGGCTCATTTTCCAAGGGCCTCTCGACTAACACAGGTGTTCCCAAGGACTGCAGTAAACTGATAAGCTAAGCGATTCTCATTTTTAAACCAACTGTTTTTCGTATTCTCTGGGCTTTGCTGGTTTGCATTAAGATGAAGAATTTTTTGGTTTTTTTGTTACAACAGCTAAATCCCTCTTTATTGTGAAAAGTCTGGAAATAGAAGAAATGGGGGGAGAAGGGGGAGACCTGCTTTTTTTGGTTAATAACTACTTTTGAAGAGGTGAAGGAAGTGTTGTAGAGTGAACTTCAATGCCTTCAGTTTAAGGGTTTTTGAATCACATGCCCACAGTGTTTGAAAGGTGTTTCATTCTTTTTGTATATGGAGGGTAAATAGTTCAAAGAACATTAGTTTACAGCTTGGATGCAAACATTGTAAAATATAACATGTATATTAACTCTTTTCTATTTATCTTTATTATTGAAAATATTTAGAATGTTTAGAGAGTAGCATGGTTATAGTGTGTTACATCCAGCAATTGGATGTGTAGAGTAGTTCTGGATGGAAAAGAACGTGGGATGAAAATGGTAGAAAAATCTTTTAATCTAAAATACTGAGTTCTTAGAATAGTTAAATGCTTTTTAAACGAAGCTAATGCAAATTATGATGGCATAAAGTTGTGCTTTAACCGTGTTGAAAGGTAGCTAAGAAGGACTCCTTAAACTGTCTTTTTGGTAGGACTGTGCTTAAGATCTGGTTATGAGGAGAATATTTACCAGACTCTTCGAATATGCAACTTAGTCTAGATTAAGGATTTTTTTCTCCCTTCACGCTAACACTTCTCTTTATTTAGCATTAGTGACATTTGTGAGGGTTTTTCCAATGTTAAACATGAACAGATGAGAAAGATGAGGCTTGTTCTGTTCCTTGCTGTGTGGGGGTGGGGACAGGGCAGAGGTGGATGCACCTGGGCATGTGTGTGGGGAGCAGTTTGTGACTTGGCCACAGTCCCAGCCTGAGAGGGGTTTGTCAGCTGGATGCTCAGCAGCCTTCCACCTGCTGGCTGCTGGGGGGGCCTCAGGCCTGGCCTCTCCCCTCTGCCAGGTGCAGGTGCTCATCTGGGCCACAGGTGGGACCCAGGTGGAGCCTGGTAGCCAGGGCAGGTGTCCCTGCATCCTCGGGCAGTCTGTTGGGAGAGCTGGGGCTGGGCTGGGCTCAGACCCTCACTGGGAGATGCTGCTGTGGGCTCTGCTTTCTCTGGTCTCTGCTCTCTTCTTCCTCCCCCTCCTTCCCCTCTGGATCCACCAGAAAAGACCACATGCAGCTCTGCTGCCAGCCCACTGTGCTTCATGGCAACCTGACCTTTTTAGCATTGATTTGAGCTTTTTTGGCCAGCTTCGTTCATTTTTTTCAAATATGTACTGTATAATTGGCAGTAAGAAAATTTCTGTACTTTATAGCAAAGCTTTTGCTTTTGTTTTTCTTTGAAGCTCTTCTAAAATTTTCTTTGTTTAAAGAGACCTGTGTTGCTTAGATGTCATGAATTATTTACTTTGACTGTCAATTATTTCTCCGTTTTTAAAAAGAAATGATATATATTGTTTGGTTCACTCAGGAAATGCATGTGTCAGGAAACCTGTACTATAAGTTCAGTTAGCTGTCATGTACAAGCAACTGCTGTTACTCCCTTTCCATAGAAATATAACTGATTTTGACATTTTCCAGATTATATGCATTAAGTCATGAAACTTATGCAGCAAGAAATCCCTGTATTGTAGTTGTTCTAATCATCTTATTCAAACTATAGTATACTGTAGTTTTAATTTTTATTTGCAAATTAATTTATTTAAACTACGTGAGTAAACACTTTTCAAAAACAGAAATTCTGGGATTGTGGCTTTGTTTTCAAGAGATGGAAAAGGGCTGGAGATGGCCCTTCTCTTGTCACCTCAGGTGTCCCTCTGTTCTGCACATATGGATTAAGAGCACAGAGAAGCAGCAGCTGTAAAGACTCTGGATGTTTTCCCTGGTAATGGCTTTCAATGGCTCCTTTTAGATGTGTCCTCTCCATGTGTTTTATATTTAACTCTGTGTTAAAGGTGAGATTGCTGTTTAAATGACACACTTAAATGAGTAAGTTACAAATACTGAAATGTAAGCAAAAACTGAACTAAATTTTAAAATGACAAAGAGCTCTTGATTCTGTCTTCCACAAAATCTAATTGACATTTCTCTGGTCCTGATCTTGTTGACTACTGGAACATGAAAAACCAGAAAAGAACATGATGAAAGCTACAAAGCAGTATGAGTAACACAGAGCTGAACTGTGAGCACAGATGGAGCACGGGATGGTAGGAGGAATATGGGAAGTGCTCTTGGAGGCCCAGCTGGAGGCAGAGCCAGGGGTGCACTTGGGTACAGGCACAGCTAACTGCAGAGGGGAGGAAGAGAGGGTCATGCCCAACGTGCAGCCCTTGTTAATTTAAGATTGTACATTATGCTTACACTGTATTTCTCTACCCCACTCCTCACCCCCTGCAAAAAGAAACCATCCCAGACAAAGATATCTGAGCAGAACTGGCTGTGTCTCTGGGAAGTGTTGGGCTAAGGTCACTCTTCAGTCTGCCCCACATTCTGCCTGGTTTGTACTGTTCTTCACCCAAGTTGGGCTTGTTTAATCCCATTTTTAGGAGGGTGGAACATGGGCATTCAAACACTTGAGACAGGGAAATCACACTGTCAAAGGCACAATAGCAATGGTTGAGTAGTTTGAAGAGCAAGTTCCATCACCAACAACAGCATCCCTAACTCTGGTACCCTGTTTGAGTACCCCCAGGCTTCTGTTCTTTGATAAATGATTGCAATGGTCCTCTGTAAATGGTAAAGTGAATTTCAGATTAAAAGTACTCAAACAGATGACTGAAGCACTCTGAACTTTAAGGCCAATCCTTTTGAACAAATTTTGTGCTGCAAGAGGTGGTACCTTGCTGGTTTTAGACAATCTCAGCTCCACTTGTGACAGCCTAAAGCAGCCCCTTGCAGCTGCAAAGACCAGCCCCAGGTGAGATCTGTGGCCTTCCCCTGCTTTTAAAGGTTTGCTGGACTGGCAAGAAGCAATGGTGATGCAAGCAGCAGATGGGACAGGACTGTTCCCTGGGATACCACTGCAGGTATAAGGGAATCAATGGGAAAATGAAGTTAGGTGTGGGTACTTTTCTAGCCTTAAAGTTCAGAGAAGCTCTGCAGAAGTGCCTTTGGATATGAGCAGCCAGTTTTCTGGTTTGTGTGTGGCTGCCCTGATCTGGGCAGTGCAAGCAGGTGATTTAATGAACTGATTTGCCTTTCAGCTGTAGGAGATTGCATGGATTTAACACTGCCAGAAAGCAGCAGCTGGCTAATAAAGCCCTTTTGTTTTGTTTTTTTTGTTTTTTCCCCAAAGCAGAAGTGGGGCAGCACAGAGTGCTGGCAGAAAGGCAGGAGCACAGACAGGGAGGTTGCTGTGGCTTTCCTGGGGAGAATGGAGTGCTCTGGTTGCTTTGCTGACTTGGCCACCGGGTTGGAGCAGCCCCAGGAGTGCCTGGAGTGGCCCTGAACAGCGTGGTGCAGGCTGGGGATGAGGCCTTCCCATCCCAGCTGTGCTGGCCTTGTTACACCTGCAGCAATGAGCCTGGTCTTCTGGAAAGTTTAACATGAAGTCACCTCAGGAGACTCCTGTGTTGGAAGGTGCTCTGCAAATCCCATAATGATCCTGCCATGACATGCTTGATCTCCTCCTGAAGTGACACTTTCCAGGCTCAATTCTAAAAATAGATTTCCAGTTTTGCAATATAAATCTACCCTGGTGCCTACAGCTACTTGCATGCTGTCTTTCAGCCTGGATTAGGCCTGGTTGCTGTTGAATTAGACCAGATTTTGTGGTCCTTGTCTTGGCTCATCCCTTTCTGTAAAAACACTGGTAGAGCTTGTCTATTTTTAATTGTAGCACTTGGCTTTAACATAAGGGCTGTGATCATCCTAGAAATGCAGTTTCTAAGGCTCTTTTGTGACTGTGGCAGATCACTTTTACCCGCAGTGTTGTGCATACTGTAAAGAAGACCTGGGAAAGCATCTCTGCAGGAGCTGTGATGGTTCCTGTGACTTGGACCAGGGACTCCTTGGCAAGTGTGGCCTCTGCAGGGGCAGCAGCAGTCCTGCCCCTGCCCAAGTGCTGCTTTCAGGGTAGCAGCAGGAGCTCAGGCTCCTGTTTCCTCCTGGAGAACAGCTCTACATCACTGTGCTGTATTCCAGTGTATTCCAGTGGGGAAACACCAATGGGTGCTACTGCAGCAAGATCAGCCAGCACCTTCAGCTCTGCTGGTTCTTGGTCTGGTTCCATATCTGAAAGCAAAAGGGGGCAGATTTAAAGAGCAGAAAAAATGGGCTTTTATTCCCTGAAGGCTCAGGTGCCTCTGTGAGAGCAGCCATGCCAAACCCAGCCTCTGGGAACTGCAGCAGGACCTCTGGCCTCGCACACATGAGGCTGGGATCAGTGCAGCCTTAGGGAATGGCATTAGCTGTAAAGCCCAGTGCCTGAATCTTTATGTGCCTGCCTTGGACCCCCTGAGCTGCTGCTGCCCATGCTCCCAGCCCTGGCAATACAGCCATTCCTCAGTCTCAGTGAGCAGGTGCCTGCAGAAGCAGGTCCTGCTTGCCTGGCCCAGCACGAGCCCTTGTGGGATCAGGAATGCATCGCCTGGGGCTGCATTCCTCGAGGCTGAGCTCCAGGGAAGATGAGTAACCAGAGGCACAGTGCCAGCTCTGGCAGGCAGGAGCTCCCTGCCCACTCGCTGCCACTCTTGGGTTTGTTGCTGTTGTGCCCAGCTCCCAGTCCTTGTCCCACTGTCCCTCTTGCAGAGCTGGCAGGAGGGATGGGAACCAGCACCAGCATCACTGTTTGCTGGCTGTGGTGTGTGCCTGGCTGTGCTGGTGAGGATATGTTTGTGGCAGCAGTGAAGCACCAGCAAATCCTGGGTTCTGCCAGCCCTGCAGAGAGCCCATTGCTCCAGTGCAGGGGGCTGAGATATTTCATGGGAGTACAAATGACCTCAAGATCAACTCAAAGAAGGACTTTGCTGGTGCAAAGACAACTTCTCTGCAATTTGGCAATACCTGCAATATTGTAATGGTTTTATTTTGATTTAGGACCACTAAACACATCTGAGGCAGGAGTAAATTATTAATTTGCTCTGACTTCCTTCTTCCACCTTGTCTACATCTGTAGTACCAGTTCTGTGCTGAGATGGCCATTGGAGATCTGCTGCCTTCCAGAAAAACAATGAGTGGAGTTCTTTGGAGTTCAAACATATGCCAGGATGGCCTATTATTCCTTTTTGTAGTGGAAAGGTCTCCTGAAAAGCCTCCCCTTTTCCAGCCCTGGCATGGCACATGGACTCCTGAGGATTCCCTGTGAGTGCTGCAAGGAGCGTGAGCAGCACAGAGAGAGGAAGCAGGACATGATAGTTCATGTTGTCAGCCAGATTTAAGTGTGGTTAAATACAGTTAAACCAGTGGGATAAGCTTCTTTATGTCTGTTTTCTTTGCTACTCACTCCCAAAATTACCTGTCTGCTTATTTATACAATTGTCTTGACCCTTATATTTGTTTCTGCTTCAACACCCCCTGAAGAAAAAAATTTCACTTTTCTCTGCATATATTTTATCTGAAAGTTTCTAAGTTGTGTTTCTTGTGGTTATGCCTTTCTTTAAGTGATTCTATTAAAATATGTGAATTTTAATGCATTGGACTGTGTTGGTTGGACCCAGGACCTGCAAAATGTATTTTGAGATTTTTTTGGTCATCTAGTTTTCAGCCTAGATAGGGTTTCCCTTCAGCCTGTCCTGGAAAGTGTTGGAAAACAAGCTGGTCAAGGATGAGGGAAGAGCAACAACTTTCCTGGGCCCTTGGGAAACACTCTGGGCTGAAGGGATACACTTCTTTCCCTGGATCATGCTCAGATTCCAAGTGCCTCCCAGCTCTCTGTAAAATAACTTTTTAATAAAACCATCTTACACTTGGGCTCTACCCATCATTCCCTTTGGTTGGCTGCAGTTTCAGAGCTGGATGAACATGAAGCCTTCAGTTCTTCCATATCTACATCTCTCCAAAATAATATTTTTAGCTGATCCCAGAAGATTTGAAACAAAACAAATGCATGCAGCAATATTCTAAACTTGCCTGGATGCAAAGCTAAAAACTGCAGCTTGCTGTCATGTGCTTGATGAAAGGAATTGAGTCAACTCATCCTTTCCAAAAATCCCATGCTTGCTGCTTTTTTTTTTTCTCTGTTGTGTGGGAGGAGGAGAGAATTAGTTATTCAGTGGAATGAGGACAATTAAAAGCAAATGCAGCTTCCAGCGATGCCATCATCTGTTCAGTGTGCCCTGAGCAACACAGAGGTAGCCTGGCTTCTTAACTGGCCCCTTTCCCTTCTGTCCTGTGCTTCCCATTGGCACAGGGCTGGCAGTTTCCAAAGTCCCCATAGGACTGTGATGCAGGTGTGCCCGTTCCTGCTTTGCCTGGACAATCCCCTGAGTTGTGACCTCAGAGGGGCTGGGAGGCTCTAAACTGCCATGGATTCAGAGGTGATGACTGAGGCAGCTCTCCTGCCCAGCCTGCCTTTCCCTGGAGTGTTGCTCTGTAGTGGGGACATGTCCATGGATCCAGGTCCATTTGTCCATGGATTCCAGCCCAGGATGGAGCTGTGGTGTCACCTTTGACCATTGCTGCCCGAGATGGGTCTCAGGGATCTGGGCCTCCCCACAGCCTGTGGACACAGTGGCCACCTGGACACAGCTGGGCCCAGGCTCTGCACAGCAAAGCTGTTGAAGGGGAGCTAAAGCAATCAGCAGGCCTTTAAATGCCACCCAACCACCAGGGCATGGATGTTTAATGCTTTTTCACTTATTCACATTAAAAGTGGATCCAGAGCAGCTTTTCTGAGGAGACAGGATCAGCAGAGCCAATGACCTCAGCTCCACCATCGCTCCAGGGGCTTTCAGTGTTACTCAGCAATTTTTGCCAGCGTCACTTGTTATCACTTGGAAATCTCACTCCACCTGGTTCTGGAGCAGGAGCAGCAGAAGGTGTGTTCAGGCACCTTTGGGCAATAATGAATCATGCTCATGGCAAACTCCTTGGCAGCTCCTGGCTGCTG